GCCAAGGGAAGACCCACTGTGGCACAGATAGAAAACACCTTACCCTGTGGGGCTGATCATAGTCAGATAACTAGGAAGAGACTGCCTTTTAGATTTATAGAGAGCCTCCACAAGAGGCTCTCCAAAGTCTTTTTTAAGAATTAATTTTAGAAAGAGGCACCTTATCAGTATTTCAAAAGACAACGCAACTTTGGCAAAATTTAGACTAAAATGAGAAAGAAAATAAGATTATAGGTATATAGAAATCATTACCACATTTTTTCATGTAAGTTGCTTTCTCCTGGTACACTGCATGGAACTGTTAGACAGCTTTAAAAAATAATTCTGTTTTTTAGATGCAAAAGGGTTGGGTGTAGGATTTGAGACAAGAGGCAGGCAGCTCAACATAGCAGTTAAGACTTTGTAGTCAGAGCCTGTTAGTCTGGTTCAAGTCCTAACTTCAGCAAAAATGAAGTGTGTTGTCTAGGGAAAATTGTTTAACCTCTCTGTGTCTGTTTCCTTATAATGGATAATAATGGTAATGTATATATAGAATTGCTACAGGATTAAGCAAAATAATACACACAAACTGAAAACAGTACCCAGCATATAGAAAATGGTTGCATTAATTAGGATTAGGTTTAAGTGTGAGACAGAAAACAAGATTGGTGTTTCTTTTTCATGTAAACATAATGCAGAGCAATATAGTAGCCTCACACTCTAATATTAGAGTCTTAGTCTCCTATTCTGTTGCTCCATGTGCATGGCTTGATGTCATCCTTCTTTTAAATAATGGGACGGAGAAGGGGATCAAATGAAAGGATAAAGGACCTAAGTAAGCTGCCTCAAAAATTTTTTGAAGTGGTCCCTGAACTCTTAGTTGACCAGAGCTTAGTTATAAGACTCTATCTAACTTTAAGGGAAACCAGGAAAGAAAGTCTTCATGCTCAGTCCAAAACATAAATAATTATATTCTCATAATAGAGGGGGAGGAAATATAACGAATAATCTGTCAGAATACTTCATAAATATTGATAATTATTGTTATTCTGCCACTTACATGGCTCCTATATCGGTCTCCAATCTGATAGTTCTTAGCTCATGGGATTTCCTTTATATGTGCCTCGCCACTTGAATCTGTCACTGAAATTTGTGTATTTATAAAACTCTCCTTAAAAAAAAATTCTTTTCCCCTTTCTAATGTTTTGCTCTGAGTAAGTACAATAATGTCCTTTCCTTATATTCATACCTATGCTCATAATCTTGAAATATTTTCCAATTTATCTTATGCCCTTCTTCTTCAACTAGTCTGTTATGCACTGAATTGTGTCCCGTCCAAATTCATATGTTGAAGTCCTAAGTCCTAGTGCCTCAGATTGTATATTTGGAGATAGTATATTTAAAGAAATAATTTGGTTAAAATGAGGTCATTAGGGTGAGCCCTAATCCAATATGACTGATGTCCTTATAAGAAGATGGGATAGAACACAGACACATGGAGGAAAGACCATGTGGAGATACAGGGGGAAGATGGACATCTACAAGCCAGGGATAAATGCCTCAGAAGAAGCTATCTCTTGGTGTCAAGCAGTGACAGCTTGATATCAAATTTGTGGTCTCTCAAAGTGTGAGAAAATTTTCTGCTGTTTAAGCCACTCAGTCTGTAGTGTTTTGTTATGGCAACTCAAGCAAAATTTTACATAGTTTGTGAGTTTGCTTGGTGTTATTAAAGTCCCAAAAAGAAACAGATGATACAATAGGAAGAGAGCAATTTGATGAGAATTTAAGTATAAAGGGCCTATTTAACAAGATGTGGATGTAGAGAAACTGAAAGAATGGTGCAGTAACCTAGACTGCTGTGGAACTAAGCCTAAAGAGGGGAAAAAGCCTTTATCAGAATCTTTAGTCAATAGACATGGCTATCTTGAAGCAACTTTGCAAGGTAGAAGACAGGGTAATAAATAACCTGACTTTACTCTCCTCTCTCCACATCTCCAATCTCCTGCCAGTGCTGCCCACTGATGGAAACCAACTGGCAGCCAGAAAGCAATGATGTGGTCAGAATGCATGCAGGTCAGCCTTTTTTTTCTTCACTCTAGAAAAGTAAAGAGTGAATATGGAGACACAAATAGAAGATAATCTGCACCATGAGGAACTCAGACTTAAGCTCTTTTGTATCTTTCACTGTTTCTTGTTCCATGTCCCCATGGGTCCATAATAACTAGTAGAGCAGATATAGCAGGTCCTTAATATTAGAAAATTGACATCGCTCGACATTTTCAAGTACTGTCGCTATTTCCTCCTTTTTATTTTTAGAATATATACTCTCTCACTATTCCTAGTTATAGCCTTAACCTAAGTCTTAACCATATCTTACCTCTAAGACTACTGCTTCCCTGTTTCTTTTGGCTCATTCTACACAAATGAAAAACAAACAAAAACCAAAAAAAAAAAAAAACCAAAAAAAAAAAAAAAAAAAAAAAAAAAAAAAAAAGACCACAGTAACCATCTGAGTAGATTATACTTTATGATATTTCTTCCTTTTCTCACCTTTACATTGCTTCATTATAGTTGACATCAGATTAAGATTGTTTGTGGATATTCAAGTAACATTCCTGTCAACTTTCTTTCTAAAAGTTATTACAACTTCCAGCCTGTCTTACCTGTTTCTGGCTGGTAAGCATTATATCTTTTGAAGTCGACAATAAACTTTCAGAATTTTATTTATTTTCCAAAGATGATTGTCAAATAGAGGTATAGCTCTTTCAAGAGGTGCTAATGTTATAAATGTTTTGATTACACAACTAAGTTAACTTAAAAAGTCTTATAGAACTCTTATAATACTTATAATACTTCTTTAATTTGCTCTCAGCAGTGAGAAGAACCTCCACTTAGATTAAGCCCCAGTGTACACTCACTTATTATATATCATTCAATTCCAACACCTCTGCAGCTTGTTCCCTAGACCTTGACAGTTTCTGGCTTTTCCAGGAAGTCAGCGATTTGTATTTTATTGTAGGGTCATTCAGTCCTGACTCAAAAGAAAATGATATGGATATTTTATGCATTTTTACTTTTTAGCTTTCTTATTTCATTTCAGGAAGAATTTAATCTTAAAAAACTTACTTTCAAAATAGGCATGTTTAGCCCTATAAAAAAATCTTTGTCATACAGTTTTATATTTTTGTTATTATTCACTTAAAATTTCTTGTCTATTATTAATCTTCAAACAAATTAGTGTTCTTCCTTTAAGGGTTGTTTCTTCTGGGTGAAAAATGATAAAACATTTAACAAGTAGTCTATAATTATTGTGTCACACATTTGAAGTTACAAGGAAGGTAACTCTATAAAGCAAATCCGACTGTCTTTAACTTATTTTTTCATAATGAAGTGTATCAATTTTTAATGAAGTAAAGGTTGTAGTGCCAAATTAGGGTACTGAGTTCAAGTGCACTTAAGTAATCATCCTTTTGTTTTTTCTGATCTTTTTGAAACTAGCACAAAGTTCTCTATAATTTTATCTCAGTGGATCTATTAACGAATCCCCCCTCTATAGGAAGAAGGAAAAAAAGCCTAAGAAACACATTGTTTTAAATTCACTTTTCCCACTATTAATTCAGGGCCATTCTATCCATCAAGCACTATGCTTAGGATTTATGTTTCTTAAGGTCTTCTGAAAACGTTGGGGCTCTGGAAAAAAAAAGGTGACTTCAAAATATGAAAAGCTGCAAATAAAAACTAATTAGATGTCGGCAAAACATATGATTATGTCATTTTTTTGTTGCTGTTGTATTTTTTTATTGCATTTTAGGTTTTGGGGTACATGTGAAGAACATGCAAGATTGCTGCATAGGTAACACATGGCAGTGTGATTTGCTGCCTTCCTCCCCATCACCTATTTCTGGCATTTCTCCCCGTACTGTCTCTCCCCGACTCCCCACCCCCCCCCGCTGTCCCTCCCCTATTTCCCCCCAACAGACCCCGGTGTGTGATGCTCCCCTCCCTGTATCCATGTGTTCTCATTGTTCAACACCCACCTATGAGTGAGAAAAAGCGGTGTTTCTCTGTTCTTGTGTCAGTTTGCTGAGAATGATGGTTTCCAGGTTCATCCATGTCCCTACAAAGGATATGAACCCATCATTTATTATGGTTGCATAGTATTCCATGGTGTATATGTGCCACATTTTCCCTGTCCAGTCTATCGATAGGCATTCGGGTTGGTTCCTGGTCTTTGCTATAGTAAACAGTGCTGCAATGAACATTCATGTGCATGTGTCCTTATAGTAGAACGATTTATAATCCTTTGGATATATACCCAGTAATGGGATTGCTGGGTCAAATGGAATTTCTATTTCTAGGTCCTTGAGGAATCGCCACACTGTCTTCCACAATGGTTGAACTAATTTACACTCCCTCCAAGAGTGTAAGTCATTTTTAAACTTAATTCTTAGTCATGTATATTTTATGTAATGTGCATGTATTTTAATGTGTTTAATATTACATGTGGTTGGAGGTCTTCTAACCAAGTCTTTAAAATAGCCTTAATCTTTAGCGTATTTTTTGAGACAAGGTGTTACTCTGTTACCAGGGCTGGAATGCAGTGGTGTGATCATGGCTCTGTAGCCTCAAACTCCTGAGCTCAAGCGATCCTCTTGCCTCAGCCTTCCGAGTAGCTGGGACTACAGGCACATGCCACCATATCTAGCTTTTATTATTATTTTTTTTTTGTAAAGACAGGGTCTTTCTCTTGCCCAGGCTTGGCCTCCCAAAGTGCTGGGACTAAAGGTGTAAGCCATGGCACCTGGTCCTTAACCTCTTTCGTGAGAGAAAGTAGTGCCACATAACATTTCAAACAGTACTTGCAGGCAAGTGTTTTAAATACACTACTGTAAAATGTGTATTTTTGTGTTTCCTGCCCTCAAAACAAAAATGTTAGTAAGCTAAACCAAATTTTTGGAAAAGTACTGCATGCACATAAATTCCCCCTTTCAAAACTAAAAAGGCATCAAGAGGCAAATACATGTAATGTCAATTAGTAATCTTTATTGTTCTTCACCAGTGGTTGTCATATTGCTAAAAAAAAAAAACATTTTTAAGGATAAAAAAAGTTTGGTCATATGCTGTAACAATTGATATATACATTCAAAACAATTTAAATGAAGGTTTTATATATCCTTATTGTGATGCTAGTGTGGGGGGGGCAGGTGAGATATATGACATGTTCCAATGAGAAGATACTATTAGTATACTTCCAATAGGATGAATGGCCCAACAGGAACTTGGGAGATGTTTTCTCCAGACTACCTATTACATTAGAAGAAGGAAAAAAAGGTAGAGGAAGGGAGGAAGGGAAAGGGAGAGAGGGAGGGGAGGGGTGAAGAGAGGGAGAAAGAGAGAGAGGAGAGAAAACAATATTTGGCAGTTAAAGAATTTGGATCATATAAAATCATTTTTGATATATAACTGACAATAATTAAGTGAATAAAATGCTTTTCAGCATATATTATTGACATGAATTGATGACTCATTTGTAAGAATTAATCTTTAACAGTCCAAGTTCATTGTCTTGTAAAAATCTACTTGGGGTTCACAAAGGTCTTAAAAAATGCTAGTAGAAATATTTATTAACATTATTATAGTACTTATTCTACCAAAAATTTTTCTTAATTTCACTGAAGTACTATAGGAACATATATAATATTTTGAATCAATTCACCTGGTATTCCATCTCTTAAAATCCATTAATATCAGAATTTTAGAATTGAGTTCAGGTGTTTTTATCCTTGACTTAAAAACTTAGTTTTCTTCTGCCTCCAAAAGGCTTGTCTGAAGTGTTACCTAGGGAGGTGATTTAACTTTCTAAACCTAGTCATAGAGTTAGCACCAATATCTCCCAAACACTCGTGTTACCTTAGAAGGTTACACGATCTCTACTATGTTTAAGATACTTGATTCCAAAAGAAAAAATTTCTCTGTAGTCATCTAGAGTTCACTTTAAGCCCTCAAAAAAAAATTCCTTCTTTCTAGATGCATTCACAATTATAAAGTAGCAGAACCCATTTTTTTTGAGCAGAAAATCAATGCTATCTACTGTATGTCACACTTACATATTTGAAAATTTGCCAAGAATTTTACTATTTATCCTTTCTCTGCAGGGTTGCACAAAAGTATTAAGAAAAAACTAGGCTAATTAGGTAGATAATATAGTAATAAAAATTCTATTAATTATTTATAGGGCTTGGGGGCAGGTGTTACTGGCATATAATACATATATAATATGCATTAATTCCAATTCTGAAAAATGTAAACACCTGCCCAAAACAAGATCTAGACTAGAACTCTAGTAGAACTTCTGCGATAATAGAAATGTTCTGTATTTGCACTGTCTAACTTAGTAGGCAGTAGCCACATGTGGCTATTGAACACTTAAAATGTAGCTAGTGTTGACTATGGAACTGAATTTTAAGTTTTGTTAGATTTTAATAGCTACATGTGATTAGTACAGAACATTTTTGCCATCCTATCATGTTCCCTCATGATCCTTTCCACTAAAATCCCAACCTACTGCCTCTGCCACCATAAGAAGACACTAAGCATAGATTAGTTTTTCCTATTCTTAAATTTTTATTAATGGATTTATATGCTATGTACTCTGTTCTAGCTTATTTTACCAAATGCAATGTTTTTGAGATTGATCCATGTTGTATCAGCAGTCCTTTCCTTTGACTTGCTCAATAGTGCTCAATAGTATTCCACTTTATGAATGTTATCACAATTTGTTTTTATTAAATACATAATCCATACACAGAGCTTCACATTTTTCTTCAAGTAGTTCTGATACAAATGTGTTTTTCCATGTCTCTGCCAATCATTCTTATCTGAGAGAAAAAACAATCCAAGTTAAAACACAACATTTTAAATTAATAATGTTGAACATTTTACAGTCAGGAACTATGTTTGCCCCATTTTAGTTTGGTTATGTACCTTTTATTATTGGTCCCACAGTGTGTTTTGCCCTATAACAGGTGGCAACTGATACTGTGGTCTAATACTGGGTCTTTTCTGTGACTTCTTAGCAAATAATTTATTTCTGAAAGATACATGCAATATATGTGAAGATGTGCCGCTTTAAAAAATGACTTAAAAAACATCCTGCAAGAACTGACTATGGGTACAAAGGTTTCTGGGTTCTTTTATAACTAATTACGGTATTAAATAATACATGCATATAAAATCGTTATTTTCGAGTCTACAGCTTTAATCGGTATCTTGGTAATTTGATTCAGTGTGGTGATGTATTCATATGTTTTCACACTGCTATAAAGAGCTACCTGAGACTGGGTAATTTACAAAGAAAAGAGGTTTCACTGACTCTACAGTTCTGCAGGCTTAACAGGAAGCATGACTGGGAGGCCACAGGGAAACTTACCATCACTGCAGAAGGTGAAGGATAGGACTTTCTTCACATGGTGGCAGTGAGAGAGGAGTAGTGCAAAATACTTTTCAATAACCACATCTCGTCAGAACTCACTCATGAAACAGCACCAGCGAGAGGGTGCTAAACCATTAGAAACTGCCCCTGTAATCCAATCACTTCCCACAGGGCCCCTCCTTCAACACTTACGGATTATGGTTTGACATGAGATTTGGGTGGGGACACAAAGCCAAACATTATCAGGCAGTAACATCGAACATTTCAAATATTAACCTCAATATAGTTAGAATCGTATCATCATCAAGTATCCTAAAACATGGGAAAAATACTCCAAATTCTAAATTTTGAAGAATTAACTTCAGGAAATTTGTGTATTCCTAACTCTGGAAAAAAATCAAACCTGTAAGTGTAGGCCAAAAAAAAAAAAAAAGAAAAAAAAGTCTTTAAGCTTAAAACTTTAAAACTGATGTTATAATATCCCAGCGCAAAGGTTGCACTTTTTTTTTTGATAGTCCCTCAGAGTACCTATTTATATTCTTGAGATAGAGTTTTGCACAAGCTTCACTACGTGGTTTTCTTGCCTGCAGATTAAGAGCAGTAAATTAAAAGGGCGTGGAGGATAACAGACCAATGCTCACTGACAACAGTGTAAAGCAACAGCTGACAAAGAAGGGACAAACTATTAACAATGGAACTTAAAAAACAAAGCTATTCAGAGAGCCACGTAGTGTGAGCACACAACCCTACACACCATTATAGGAATGATGCCTTTATCTGTAATGAAGTGAATATTCACAATGACTACCAGTTTTCATAAAGCTGGAAAGCATACCTCATTTCCCATCTGTATGTCAAACGGGAACCACATTGGTCACCAGTCATTTGTCTGACTAGAAGGTCTTACCACGACAGTGAGTTAGGAAATCTTTTGGCTTTAACACTAGGCTCACCACTGTTCACTACTGTAACACATTACTGCAACACATACATAACTCCTGAGATTATCAAAGGCAACAATATGACTTTTATAAATGTACCCAAAGTAACTGGTTTCTAAAACACGGTAACCTTGGATTCGCTGGCACCCAGCCATAACCTAAAACCACCGACTTTTAGGACTGTTTTTTCTAAATGTGAAAATTACCTATCCAACTCTGGTGGTGTTGGGATTACATGAGATAATGTATGTAAAACACTTAGCAACAGTTCTGGGACACAGAATAAGAGCTCAGTATTCTTTTAGCGCTAGTGAACCCATGCCGGCCCAAATCTCTTACTTGCAGGTGCAAAAATTAAGCCTCAAGAGGAGAGCTAACTTCCTAAGGCTCTATTTCTATGTTATTGTCTTGGATAAGCAGATTAGTGGCAAATGTTGAGAGACTTTAGGTATCCGTAGGGCCTGGGGGCATGTGCCTGCTGGACTTGTCTGCAGCGAATTGGAGGAGTCCGTTTGAAACATGAGGCATTAGAGGTTGTGCGTTATCAACGGGTGTTGGAGATGGCAGGTTGTGTTAACGACATTCAACACAGACGGAAGCTATTCGTCTATCTCAATTCAGCCGGAAACAGGCAGACCCTCTACTACAGTAGGCTGAGTAACGGGGCGTGAGGGCAAGGCAGGTAACAGGATCCCGGCCTGAACTCAAGTCCCAGTTAGGTCGACTATAAAGAGAAATGAGCACTTAAGGTCTGAAACTAACAGAAAACTAGAAACTAACGGGATGGTATCGCAGGCAGGTGTAAGTCACCCCGCCCCTCTACGCCATCCGTCGAGGGGAACTGCCAAAAGCGTATTCACAGCCTCCGGGGAGGGCAATTTCTTGCTCTTTACTGGCACTTACTCCCAGCCCTTAAGGTAGGAAGTGATGACCTCGCCTTTTCGTTCTGAAGTGAGGGCCGGACCCTCTTGGACCTCACCTCTCCGCGCCACGCTGCGGCAGGGACCGCGAGAGGCCGGCTCGCTGCCCACGCGCACCCCACGCTCGCCTTCTTTAAGATGGCGGCAGAGGCAGATCGCTAACGCCCCGCCGCCCGCGCTCCTCAAAGTCGTGCCCTCAGGAGGCGGGAGCGGCTCAAAGCGCGGAAGGCAGGAGGACAAGAGTGACGCAGGCCCTCCAGTCCAGCGCAGGCCGAGGAGCCCTGAAGCGTTTGGAAAAGCTGAAAGCTAAAAGGCGGACGCGATCAGGAAGACCGCTGGCGCCTCAGAAACGAAAAAGCGGCGGCACATCCGGGCCCCTCTGCCCGCCCCGCCCCGGAAGTAACGTATCGGGCGGGGGCTGTTCTTCAAGGTGGATTCTTCCTTCGCCATAGCTCGTCTCTCCACAAAGTGCCTGGAATCATCCTCGCCACCCCCTCCCCCGAGTTAGCCGTTACTCTCTGGTGGCTTCGGGACATCTCTGCACAAAGCTGGCTGCTGGGACTGACAGCTCTCGTTTCACAGATAGTACCCCTAGTACCAAGACCCTAAACTCTCCTGGGCTTCGCCAGCGCGTATAGTAACGTTCCTCCGAGAGGACTCTGTGCCCTCAGCCCCAGCCAAGCCTAGGCAAACCTCTTCGGAGTCCTGCGTTGGAATCCCGGTCTTGTGCTCCTTCACCCCGCCCGTTCGGGGGCCGTCAATCACAGCGCTGAGCCCTCCCCTTCCGGCGGCTCGGCCGGGCCCGCCTCCTCCCCTCTTCCCTCCCCTCTTCCCTCCCCCACCCCTCCCCGTGCGAGTGTCTCCCTCTCCCTCTCGCTCTCTCTCTCTCTCTCTCCCTCTCTCTCTCTTTTGTGAGTTATAGCAACCGTTGCCTTGTGAATCAAGCGCCATAGTCACCGTAGTCCTGGCGACTGTTACCCATCAACAACAACTACTCCTCTCCTCCTCCTCCTCCTCCTCCTCCTCTTCCTCCTCCTCCTCCTCCCCACCACCACCATCTCCATCACCCACCAACAACACCACAATAATCCACAGCCAAGGTGAATATTCTTCGGTCTCTACATGTGTGTGGGAGCGTGTGGCTGCGTGTGAAGCGTGTGTCCGTGTGTGTGTTCGTGTGTGCAAGCCGAGTGTGGCTGTGCAGGGGTCTCACTCCTGACACGGGGGCTGCCGCTGCCGCGCCGCCGCCGAGGGGCTCTGTTCCCCGGGCTTGTTTACAATGGACCCTGCGCGCCGCGGCTGGGTCGGGGGTGTGGGCGCCGCGCCGCCCGCCGGCCCCGGCCCTGCACCGGCCGCACTTCAGGGATGGAGCGGGAGCTCGGGGGGCTGCGAGCCGAGCGGGAAAGGGAGCCACAGTTTTCCGATGCGGATGCTGGATCTTTCCCTTAGGTCTGGTCTGAGGAGGAGGGTCAGGTGAAGAGATAAGAATTTGTTCTTTCTTTAATTTTCTTCTTTTCCAACGCTGCTTGTTTCCTGCTTCTTTCAAAGCCGAAATAGACAACAATGTGCGGGGGGGACCCAAGAGGTGCTGTTTTGTTGTTGTTGTTGTTCACTTGTGGGGCCTTGTTAGGGGTTTTGTTATTTTTATCCTCGTACGTTGATGAACTTTTCCCACCGCCTATTCCCTTCATTTTTGCCCCTCTTTGCCTGGTGCTAAATGGGCTGCTCTTCTTTGACCATCATCAGCTTCACGGTTTTCTTTTTTCTTTTTAAAACTGTATTTTCTTTGTGCGGCAAACAGTCTTAATATCCATTCAGCACTCTTCCCTCCCCCTCTTTCTTCTCCCCCCAACACCCCTTGCACACACATTGAAACCTGGAGCCTCTTCGCTGAGCTCTCTTTGCTGTCATGGGGAAGAGATTTTTCTTTTTTAAAGTGTCTCCTCTCTCTTTTTTGGGTTGTGTGTGTGTGTGTGTGTGCGTGTGTGCGCGCTTGTGATTTAAACCGGATGCAGGGCATCTGTGATACTTGGGTTAGTAGTTATTGACAGTGCTTTATCCTTCATGTGGAGGTGGGAGGGGTAGTTGTGAGGTTCCGTTTCACTTTGATGACCCTCCCTCCCCGCAGTAGAGTGTTAACAATTTTCATTGTGGTTGTGAGACTTTGTGATGAACAGGGAAAGGACACAAGGAAGCTTTGTGAGAACTCAGTTCACAATGTTATTTGTGACAGTTATGTTACTTTAAGAGTTTTTTTTTTTTTTTATCTTCTCTGTTCATTTTCCTTTGAGAGTTGAAATTGAAGTCAAGTTCATAAAGAATGTATGAAGCTTCTCAACTTGAAACGTGTGTATATTTCACTTTCTTTGCGGTTAAGATCTAGGCATGTGTGTACTTAACATATTCTTTTTATTTACTTTTTGATTTTCTTTGGACAGTGACTTGAACCTGCTCAGGAGAAAGAACGTTTTCTCTTCTCACTATTTCTTTTGAAATTTATTTTTCTCTGTAATTTGAATACTTATTAGTTCTTATGTAGTAGGTTCTTGGTTAGCGTTAGCCAGTTTTTCAGATCCCCTAAATTTGTTCATTTTTTTTCAGCTTAACTTTTAGTTAATAAATTATCAGTAAAGAGTTTTGATAATGAATATGTGCTAAAACAAATATAATGTACTATTATGGTTGCACATATTGATGTTTTTAATTTACGATTTTAAAATACTTAGTCTTCTTTCTAACAGCAAACATATATTGATTTAACTGACAGAGCAGCTTGTGAATAATGTGACAGTACTAATTATTCTTGAGATTGTCAATGAGCAGGGTGGGTAATTATAATGCTCTTAAGCCTAATATTTGTAAAATAAGAGTTGAGGTTTAAAAAAATCTTTTTCAATTCATTTTCTTATGATTGCTATTTTTAATGAAGGCGATATTTTGTTCTGAAAGAAGTCTTTCTCAGAGCACTCACATTTCTTTATAATTATTCCTCCCCTCCCCAAACTGGGTTCCATGCAAATCTATTATACTAACTTGTATTTTTTTTTCTGTTCAGATGAGTGTCAAATGCCTGAACACTTTTGGATGGTGAAGCTCCTGGGTCCTATAAACTCTCTCTGAAGTTAATAGGAGTTTTGCTGTCTTGGGACAGTTTCAGACCTTATGCCATTTACATAATAGATTTTCAGTTAAGTAAATTATATGCTATAATGTTATGGTTTAATATTTTATTTGCAGTGTCTGAGAACTTTTTTTGAGGCATTTCACTCGTATAGCTCAGGTTTTCTGTGATTTAGATTTTCATTCACAAGTTGATTTGAGAGCAGAACTTAAATTGAATTTCATTACTTTTCCATTTTTTTTGAAGCATATATGTGGGATAAAATTGCTGTTACAGCTGCTGTGGAATCGATTAAATAATCAGAAAGGCTAAGAAATGGTAAATTTAAAAATTAAACACAAGGTTAGATACTTAGCATTTACTTTATTCTTTCTGTAATATTTTTCCCGGAAGGGTCTAAATTACGTATCAATATCTCTTGTGTTTTCAGTTTTTATACTAAAAGAAATTTGTAAACGTGATCATGCTTTGAAACTTAAGCTATTAAATACAAGTGACTTGTAACTTGTTTTGAATACTTAAAGATCTGTGATTCAATGTATGTCATAATGCCTAACTCAGTCTTTTTGGTTTATTTTGCCTATGAATTATATTAAATGGTCTAGGCATCATACATATATACATATATGGCAAACTAATAAATTTCTAGAAGTTTTGCATCCCTAAATGTTGTAGTGATGCTTAGTTTTTTAAGTACTGTATTATTCTTCCAGTATTCAAGTACTTTTCTACTTTACTTTGGTACTTAAATAAAAGGTTACAGTGTATAAGCTTAACATGCTTTAACCTAGAACAATTTATTTTACTCGAAACAAATTTATTGTAGTAAAATTTTTTTTTTTTTTACCATTAAAAGTAGTAAAAAATAAATGAATCTTAAAATCAAGTTAAATTTTATGCATAGTTTAAATGATTACATATGTTACTTTTTGGTAACGTTTTTCATTTCTTGTGAAAGTTGATATTGTGTTGGTATTCTCCAGCTGAAGAAATTAGCAGGTAGAATATAATGATTTTGGCTTTTCAGATTTTAAAGTGTGTCTATGTGTTTGTTTAAATGGGTGGGTATAGCAGCAGATGTGTGGTAAGAGTTAAACATACACACAGACACACACACACACACACTCACACACTCTTTTCCTGATCAGTAATAGGAATGTTACTTTGTTCTTAGTATCCATAGTAAGAATGTGTTACAAGAAATTAGAAAAGGGAAGAAGTAAACTTTAACATTTTGGAGAGCATGCTGGTTATTTTATGCTGAATGGCTAAAAATCCTCTATTTGCCCTTAGTTGCTTTAAAAACAGTTTTCCTAACTGAGTAATTTGCCTTTAACTCTTTGGTATATATTCCCAGTGGCGATCACAAAGTGTGTTTTAAATTCCTCTCTATTCGCAGTTACATAGTGTTCCCATATTTTGGAAATCCAAGATTAAGTGGATTTGACTAAATCTAGCTTGTTAGGGACAGATGGCTGCTTCAAACAGGTGTCACTTTCATTTTTTACTGCATTGTGTTGGGACTTCCAGTGGTTCACAAAAGGGCTGTCTAAAGCAGGTGGCATCTTTTGCTTTTGTTGTTAGTAAAATCTGCTTTAGAGTTAATTATTTTCCTAGGAAAAGGGTATTTTTTTTAATAAGTAAAAGTTTTGAACTGCTCAAGATCTGTAATTTAATATAACTTTTATTTCTGAATATCATTGTTTTTAAATTGTAGAACTTGCAGATTCTTTCACAAAACACTTACCAATTCTTAAAAATAATGGCAAATTCCCTTTGAATCCAGAAAAAGTACATAGGAACATTTTACAAACCTCAAGGCCTATTTGAATAAAGTGAAATTTAGTTAACATGACAAGTTACCTTCTGTCATCCTACACTGAAATATTTTTTTGACAGCATTATTTATATATTGGAAATAGGTGTTGTTTTTGTTTTTCAAACTAAGACATTTTCTTGACCTACTTAAATTACTGCTATAAAGTTTATAGTGATCTTTTAAAATGATAAATATTTTTAAGCATTAATGTTCAAAAATATGTACTACAGTAAATTAAAAACTATTGCAATATTGACTTCTAAGGTTCATTTTTCCTCTATAATTCTGTCCTTTTCTGTGGGAATTTTATTTCTTATAACAGATGCACCAGAGGGTGCTGTGCTGTTTGCAGCATGAGATTATTATCACTAAGAATGTGAACTCATTAGAACTTTTATTTAAAGAAAAGAATTTTAATTATGTATGCATTGAAGCATATAATAGTCTTATTTTTATGGAGTTTAGCATACTGTCTTAATTGGCACTTTTACATCAAAACCTATCTTCATATACTAATACATATTACCACAACATGTAATGATGTAAAGATTGATAACTTTGGCATTGTCTGAATGTCGGCATTAGGCCTGTAGGCATATATGTTGATTATCTTATGTAGATATTTTAATCTTTATTTCAAAACTTAGGTTACTGAGAATCATACTATTTGGCGATATGCGGCTTTATACTTCTTAAATTTCATAAGGTTAGCACATATCAATACTTGTACATTGTTGTAACACTTTTACATGGCACAATTAGTGATATGCTTTTTCTTGTATAATCTTTAAAAAAAACTGGGCTGGAAAAAT